CGGTGCCGGCGAGCCGGAAACGAATTAATTTCGACTTGACGCCGCGGCTCGTTCGAAATGAGTTTCCAGGTGGGTTCTGTCCTTGTGTCTGCCCTTACCTTTCTTCCATCGCGGGCTTCGTAAAATAATAACTTTATGGAGGCGGGACACGGCACACGAAGCCCTGAATGGGACGCTTCGAGGCGAAGAAAAGGTCTCCGGCAGACAGAGAGGGAAGAGCGTGTCGTGCGGCGAAAGAATAGGAACTAAAATAGTCTTCTCGGCGGCAAACGGAGAAAAACTCATTCCGTCTGCTCGCCCGCAGCCCGGAGCTGCTCCATTGTGAAACGGCCAACTATTGTGTAGTTCGTGGTAACCGCGGACCACTGTCGTTCTCTGCTCTTTCTCTCGGTCGTTCTCGTTTTCTCTCCTTGGTCCCGCTAGTCCCTTTTCTCTCTGTTTCTCGGCGTGTCCACAGTTTCGTTCCTTTCTTCCGGTGTGCGCTCGTTTCTCTCGTCGCTTCTTCGTGGAATTTCACCGACTTTCCACGCGGTCCCCGTTCCCGATCGTTTCCTTTTCATCACGGCCACGGTTATTTCGCAGGAATCGTCGACGACTCGCGCCGATCGAGTCTACCGAGAGAATTTGCGAGCGCGAAAGTCGACAGTGCTCGCGATCCCGATGGACATGCGTAATCGCTTGGTAACTCAAGGTCAGAGTTGCGGCCTATCGAAGTAAGTTTCAGTTCGATAGAACTGGAATGAAATCTTATCGTTATCGACGATACTAGGTAAATATACCAGCTAGTAATCAATTGGGGTAGAAATGGTGACGTTCGAACAGAGATTTGGGGGACTTTACGTCGAAGGGAATAACTTTTGAAGAATCAAACGTCTTTCGCTCTTTTCTTTCAACAGCCTGTGTAAAGTAAATCGTTAAATTGTGTATTCGTTATTTTGGAATTTTTATAACACGCGTACGTTTAATTTGTCGAAACAGAATCATATCAACTTGTAGATATTCTTTGCAAAACTACGTAATATCAAAGGAGATGCGTGTGATTTTCTTCGCTAGTTTCGTTTCCATGGCTTTTCCGTGTCGAATAGTTCTTCCTTTTCTATCATTAACGTCGTTTCTCTTTCCTTCGATTTTCTTCCTCTTTTCTCGCCTTTCTTTCGCGAAATTCCATCATCGATCTCCTCTTCTGCCGAAAGGAGAGCAATTTTAAGGAATCGTTTGACGATTCGGCTGACTGACGAAGAGAAGGATCAGGAACGTAGAAAGCAACGAGGTCGAAATACAGGATAGTATCTGAAAGTGGCTTAAAGGGAAGTGCAAGCTTCACGACAGAAACCTGTCCCGCTGTAATATTTGGGATATGAGTTCGGCTCTTTCTTGCTATTCATTGCAAACGGAGAGCTTTGTTCCATTTTGTATCGTTGCTTCCAGCATCGTATTATTAAATTGGATTTAATATTCTACCACGATCAGCTCGAAAGTAAAACTATCGCGGCGTGAGTTCGTAGCAAGTTTCTGATAACGCGATTTTTTATCCGGTGGGACATTTTTAGAAGATAGAAAATTGCCTTCTTTCGGTGCAAAGCCATGATTTTTTTTTTAATGCTTATTTTATCCGCGTTACACGCTCGTAAAGATAAATAAGAAAGTGACGCGTAATTTTAAAATACGGTACGTTCTAGCTACCAGTTGTAAGTTTCGGGTGAGAATCTCTGTAATATAATCGCACTAGTTGCGCTTCGATAATTAAACGTAACAATGAAACGATACGTTCAATGTCTCGCGCATATTGAAATTATTTCAACGTTCGTCGCATAGTAGATAAACGATTATCCAATAAATTTGTTCACGTTGCTCTCTGAGGAGTTACGTAATATTCCGTAAGATCGTGACAAGAATGAGTGGCAAACATCTCCCTATTTCGATACCAGCGAAATCACGTGCACAACGAACGAATTCCAAAGGAGTGTACAAGCTGAACATGAATGATTAAAGTTATAATTTAGAAAAATAAATATACGTATGTATAATAACGTTTCGTGTAAACAAGCCGTAATGCTCATTCGTAATTAGTTGATCAATAAATAAAATTCGACGTAAACAAATCGTACAAGCATGACAATATCACTATCAATGGC